CATCCAGAATCGACCGATGACATTAGTTCGCACTTTGCTGTACCAGGGTACGGCTCCTCGACCCCCATGGGAAGGGAATTTCACATCATTTCTGCGATCCACCAACCCTTGCCTCCACAGCGCTGGATTACAGTTATGTGCTACTACTGCCCGCCTAGATTAGCATGAATGACTTATATTAATACGTTCATAGCAAACATGAAAATGATTCCAAAGAGGATTAAAATGGGAAATGTTGGCATCAGTGGCTTGGCTTATCACAAGTAAAACAGCTGCCAAAGCACACAGACCATAGCACAAAGCCTACAGCCATAGAATGCCTCTGTTAATTCCAATAAAAGATGAGATTTACAGAAAGTAATCGTAAGAGTAACCACCAAATCAGATTTTGTTACTTTGAAACAACTAATCAGATTCTGTAGCGTCACGTGGATTTCGTTATGCAGCATTATCTGACGTGACTTGTAAAACCTCACGTAGTCAAAAATCAGAAACTGATTACTTATGAAGAGTAATCCTATCGTTACCGATTACGTACACAGAAACATCTACACAACTCATCTTTATCCGCGGCACTATTACCTGATACTCAACTCCCGATTATTTGTGACCTTATTCATTGCGATCCGCTATTATCGATTATCCACAAACTGCAAAGCGAAGTGGCTTCCTGATACTCGTGGTTTCCGCACATAAGAGTCGCCGAAGTGGAACATTCATCCCACTATCTACAGGGTTATTTGCAATATTTTACCCCACAAATACGAGTGATGTCGCGGATAACCCCGTGGATAACAGGGTCCGCGATATTGGTCCCTCATATCACCGCCGTGGAAAAGGAGTTCTTCCTGCAAAGTCGTTAACGTGCAGAGTTAAATACACATAGGCCCACAGAGACCCAGTTTAATATGCTATGAGCCTCGTGTACCCCGTGGCTGATCTCCAGACATTCACAGCAACATTAGCAAGTCCAATTTGAACATGTCCTTGGGCCTCCCCTAGGTTGACTCAGCCTTAAATGAGTACCTGTAACAATGTGCAAACGTCATTGCTGGGATCACAGAGGCGGCAGGCCATGGTTTTGGCCACACCAACTCCTCACGAGTTGTGACATCCAGAATAGGCACTCGCTGACTGCTTATTCCAAGAATCTGTATGGCTACATGGGAGATATGTTTTCATACCTATGCGAGTGTGCATATGTATGTATGTACACGTGTACGTGTCCTTAATGAATGCTTGCTAAGAGCACTTTCCCCAACAGGCTATACGGGAGATCTTTGTATCTTGTCTATTTGTGTGTGTGTGCGTGCGTGCGTTCCTGTATGCGCGTGTGCATGTGCGTACATTCCAGGATGTATTACTCCCATCAAGTCCTCCCATGCCAATGCCCGGAGGTGCACAAAAGTGTTGGATGATGAATGAGTGTGGGCTCAGTGTCATTCTACAGCGGACTGTATAAGTGGGTATGCACGCATGCATGCAGGCGTAATAGGTGCTCGCTAACAGCACTTGCCCAAACAGTTTATCGATGTGACCAGGGAGATTAATCTTTGTAGTGTGTTTGGGTTGGGTCCTTGTGGGGGTGTGAGCATACTACTTGTTTATTCGTATTCTTTGTTGAGTTCAAAGTCTGTGTGTGTGTGTACATGGAGTAGTGGTTTATCTTTGTTGTGTCTTTTTGTCATTGACAGTGGGTGCTGCAGTGGTTCACGCACTCTGCTGCCCACCCAGTCGCCTGGGTTCAACTCCCGCTGACGGCCAACATCGGTGGCCCGATACCCTCTTGGTCGACTCAGCTACAGGCTGGTTATTGGGGTTCAGGCACTGAGTCGACCGAAAGGTGAGCGCCCTGTTTAAAATTGTGAGACATTTGTGTCCTCGCGAGACCAAACGCGGCTAGGAGTTGGCGCGGGCCCCCGTCGCTGACCTCGCGCGAAGCGGCGACCTCCGCGGATCGCTCCCTGATGCCCCAACAGCAGCTGGCGGGCCACGTGGTGGAGGGACCTTTGTCCGTGTATGTGTGCATAGGCAGGACAGGCTGCTGAGCCTAATTTTGGAAAACAAATCGTTCTACCAGCAGCGAATTCGATTCCCCAGGCACAGGCTGGTCATTGGGGCTCATGTGAACGCACTGGCACAGCGTCGCTAATTATCTTCATTGGTCATGATAGTAATTCGACTTCACAGCAATATTAACAACACAAACGAATCGTCCACAGTAGATTATCTTCTTCCGCCAGTGAACACCAGGGTGAATCTAGGAGATTGCGTTTGTGTATGCGTGTATACAGGTGTGTGTGTGATCCGAGTTCTATTCCTGCTCACGGCCAACACCAGTGACGATTGCCTCAACCGGTCCTGGGCTTCCCCTAGGTTGACTCGGCCTCGAATGAGTACCTGGTGCGGTGTGTAAACATCGCCACCGGGGAGACAAAGGCGGCCAGGCGTGGTGCTGGCCACCCACCCCCTCGCGTGCCGTGCCGGCCTCCATAGGTGCTCGCCCCCAAAGTCTGTTAAGACTTTACGGGGAAATCTTTGCCTTGTCTTCTACAACCGTATGTGTATACGTGTCTGCAATTCTGTATATTAGCTTCATGCATGTACCCGTGCACACATGCATTAGTATGCACGTCTTTGTGCGTGCGTGCGTACTCATCCTTCCGCACGTGCGTAGACATGCTTGCATACACGCAACCCCACGGGAGTCATGAGCACTTTGATGCTTGCTATGGAACAACTGGCCTGTTAAACACACACACACCATATTGCTCACTTGCTACATGGCAGTATATTAATGCAAATACGAGCTGTTTGCTAGTGCCCTGTAAATAAATAAGGCGTCTTGGGAATACGAGCGAAATCTCTGTGGAAATGAAAAATGGAATTGGCAAATTTCCGTGAGCAGTTATGTCACTGCAGTAAATTGGCCATTATAAAACCGGCAGGAATGATCTTGAATGCATCCAAGTTGGGGAAGTAACCTTGCAGGCTGCATATCGACCTTGAGAAAACGTGCACATTGTGTTCCAAAGCGTGCACATGTGCATGCACGTCTGCACGATAGGTACCCTGTGAGATTCCCTCTAAAATTGACATTTTGGGGGGGAAAACGAAAGCAAGAAAACATGTTGTGGATGCGATCAGGGAGAGGAGTTTGTGATGAGTGGGGATGAGATTCTAAGAGGGGTGCTTGTAGGTCAGGGGTTAACTTTGCAAAACTTTGGAATTTAGCAGGATGAAGTGATGGGGATGTGCGGTAGGTCTAATGACACTGGCAATGATGACCTCGTTACATTGACCTTGTTGCGGTTGAGATACTTTCCACAACAGAATGGCAGATCAATCTCACATGGCTTCACTAGATAACATACCGGTCTCTGATAAACTCCTTGAGACAATACACGAGCAGAGAGGTCTATGATTGTGGTCTTTAGATAATAGACTGACATACTTGTCTCTGATGGGATCTTTAGGCAAGTCTGAAATAATGCAATCCTGATCTCTCGCAACGTAATGCCACTCTTCGTATTAGAGGACATCCCATGGAAGCGGATATTGCAGAACTACTTCTGAGATCCTTTCAAGGAAGCTCTTACCCGCACAATTAGGAGCGGAGGGGGGGGGGGGGGTAGCATTTGCATGCTACAAAGAGTAATATTAATCGTTTGACAGTACAATTAGACAAATGAAGTGCAAAACAAAAATAATAATTATCGCAGAGTAATTGGTGACCGGACCTGAAATCACCAACTTATCGCACTTGTGAAGTTTTTTTATTTGGTGCCAGGTGAGGGTACTGACCCTCTGAGCCACCAGGCCATCTAAAAACATTTGAGTCCAAATGCTATGCTATGAATACTTTTTTCAAAGCATAACGAAGGTATCCCTTAATTTGAAGAAGAGGGTTAACCGCAAGAGACACTACATCTCCCCTGCTACCCCTCTTTTTATATTTTCTCACTCGGTCGCTTGTTGTTGCGATTATTTCTACCCACGTGACTTTACCGAAAGCACCAAAGAGCATGGATTCTTGCAGTCACGAAAGCTTCAAATCAAGACAGTACCAGTTGATTGACGTCCACACACAAGATTCACTCCGGTCGTTCTCACCCATTGCTCGGACACTCTTGAATCCCTCCTCGCCAACATCATTGTTCTCAAGAACGTCACTCATAAATGCCTGTGCACAACCACCAACGTCGATGTCTCCTTCTACAAAATTGGCCATAAATGTGTTCCACCACCATATTGCAGTTTTAAATAATTTCTCCTCCTCCTTTACCCGTGCCAGACTTTGCAACTCTCTCACAGTGTGCCTTTGCCCAAGTTACCGTGAGCTCGCTCGAATCAAGAGACATCTTTGTTCTCATCTGCTGTACCATTATCAGTGCTATTAGCTGCTGGTGTTAGAACTGTCAAACGTTATCTCGTTTCCCAATTTCATACATCCTCGCTCAATTCAAGAAACAGTATGTCCTTGTTATTGTCTGTAATAATATCATTATCGCACTCTTAGTCTGTGCTCACTTTGTATTAAAAGTTGCTGGAGCCTGTGCTGTTCCAGCAACAATTATCCACCCTAGCCGCTACCTGTCCAACCACACCACACGCCCAGCCATACTACTCACATAGGCGGCCACCAAAGACGTACACCACCTACCCACCCAGCCACCCAACCAGCCTCCAAGCCACCCATCCACATCATCCATCCACCCATGCACCCACCCAACCACCCACCAAGTCACCCATCCACACCACCCACCCAATCACCCACCCACCCACCCACACATCCACCCAACCACACAACTATCCAGGCATTAACCTCCCAAGCCAACAATCTCCACCACCCACACAACCACCTAAACAGCCATTGGAATAAAATACACCAGTCACAATTGACCTAGTATCTTATTGTTAAATTTGGTTATGAAAATCCACCCAGCCACCCACCCACACAGTCACCCACCCACACCACCCACCCAGCCACCCACACTCACAGTGTCACGTTCTCAGCCTGGAAGCATCGATTGCGTAGAAGTCCAGCCCACAGCTGCACTCCCACGATCCCGAACACGAAGAACACGAAGAAGCAGAGAAGAAGCACGTTCCCCAGCATGGGCAGCGTGTCCAGCAGCAGCGTCACCAGGATTCGCATGCCTGGTGCACAGAGAGGGGTCGTGGGGGCAAGGGGAGGGGGCAAGTTACAAAGAACCTTGTGTAGGGTAGCGAAGGTGGGTGTAAGGTTAAGTTTGTAGATAAGTTTCCAGCCTGCACACATAACACAATAACAGCACGGAGTACCAGCCTCAGAGACAACAGCCTTGTGATCTCCCAGAGGAGATTCACTGCTATTCGGCCACATCCGTCAGACGCCGGAGTACGACCCCGACCCATGCCGCTGTACAGCTGTGCGTCGAGCCGGTGTGCGGCGAGACCGAGCGGCGATTGGGAGCGTTCGCCTGGCCTGGCTTTCCATACATCGAGAGGGACACAGGCCTCTCAGCCCCGCAGCCACGGACTGCTGCTCCGAGTGACCGGCTGGGGTGGAGGACGCAATGTCCGTTTGCCAGGAGAGCAATAGCAGCGGCTGTAGAAGTGGAACACACTTGTCCAGCTGATGATTTACTCAACATTTACAGAAGGCGTGACAGTTGGTTTATTGTCACCCATAGGCTGTGCCAAACTTTCCCCACAGTCATCAGACAGGGCTCGTGCACATTAAGCCCCGTAAGGCGCTAGGCAGTGGTCGGCAATGATGGCTCTGCAGTGCGGATGGTTCCGAACAAGGATTACACCGGCATATAGTTGACTCAATGTCCCGTTGCTGTATAAAATAATATGGCCAGAGTTCTGGCTAGTTTTGAGTTGGTGGTCTAAAAAAATGTGCACGAGAACATGCATTGTGGTGCTGTCATATGACATGCAAGGCATGATGGGAGGACGACTCCTTGGGTCACAATAACAAATGTTCTTCAGGTGAGAGCGAGCATTATGGTTGCACAAGAATAACACGGCACACGGACTCGAGCTGTTTGACTGACCGATTAATAAATTTCGTGTCAATCAAAGCACCTAAGACAGATTGCTTCCTTGGTTGATTGCACATGGGGTTAATGTATCACGAAGTGGTAATTGCGAGTGTGAAAAATCTCTTTGGCCGACTTGTGGGCGGACAATAGCTTACAATCATGACGACTAGGTTAGCTAAAATGATAACGACAACGATATCGGGTCAACGTGATCATATCATTATCATCAGCCATGATATATCCCCTGCTGGATGAAATCCTTGCCCATGATGTCGCCAGCCCTCATTCAGCAGCGGGAAGATGTCGCCATGGCTGCTTCACCACCACCACCACCAATGCCCACAATCCATTGTAATTAACTTTGGTGATTTACATTTGTAAACGTGATATACAAATTGTCAAGCTAAATCAGGAATGGAAAAAAAACTATTTTAATTGGAACACACACCTAGTAATGCACAGTGATACCATGGCTTTAATGACCAAATTACCAATAGGATTGACTACTGCGCTACAGTATTGCATTCCCATTGTTATGAAGCAGTATATATTTGTGGAGGCCTCAGGCTGCAGCCCATAATGCCGCTGCATTAATGTGGCCCTGGCTATGAGATGGTGTTATTGCGGCAGGCAGTGCAAGAGCGGGGTTCATAATCACTCTGTTAGAAGGTTTGGTGTCGTTCCCCTCTTTCGGGGGGAACGACACCGAAAGAGGGGTGACAGCCTTCCATTTAAAGTGGAGACTGAGCAGATAGCAACTTAGGACCATACAACATGCCAATACTGGTCCCGTTACTGTATTATACAGGATGTTTAAATAAGATAAACCCAATTTCAAAGCAGTATTTTTCGATGGCAACATGTTGCAATTGCACAAAAAGTTACAAACGGTTTAATGAGTTATCAAGTTTTACTAACCATTTTATAAATGCTCTATCTGCCCTCCACCTGCTGTATGGACAACATCGAGACGATAGTTGAATTCGTCCCAAATGCCTCTCAAAGTCTCTTCTTCCACTGAAGTCACCGCTGCCGTGATTCTGTCTTTGAGGTAATCCAGAAAAAGTCGCAGGGTGTGGTGATGTCTGGGGATCTTGGGGGCCAAGAGCGTAGCGCCAAGTTTTGGGGTCCCATGCGACCTATCCAGCGTTGAGGCGGTGCGTCATTTGGCAAAGTTAAAACCGCCAATGTGGGCGGTGCTCCGTCTTGCTGAAAAATGAAGTCATCGAAATCTTCATCAAGTTGTGGAAAGAGCCATTTCTGCAGCATTTCGAGATACGCTTGCCCCGTAATTATGTTTCCCTCGAAAAAGAAAGAGCCATAAACCTTTCTTTGAGAAACAGCACACAACGCGTTCACTTTCGGGGAATTACGCTCATGCTCTACAGTTTCGTGTGGATTCTCTAATCCTCATATGCACACATTGTGACGGTTGCTTCATCACTAAGAATCAAACGCGGTAAGAAGCTGTCGTCCTCCATATTCTGTAACATCGCATCACAAAATTCTACACGCTTTCCCTTGTCACCTGCACGAAGAGCCTGTACATTGCAACCGGTATGGCTTCATGATTAAACGTCGCCTTAACACACGCCAGACAGTCGTATGAGGGATCGCAAGTTCTCGGCTGGCACGACGAGTGGACTTGCGTGGGCTACGCAGAAAACTCATTTGAATTCTTCTCACGTTTTCCTCTGAGGTCCGTGGTCGCCCTGTGCTCTTCCCCTTACATAAACAGCAGCCTGTTTCCTCAAATTGTCGGTACCAACGACGAATGCTCTTTGACATTGGCGGATCAAAGCCAAAACGCCTTTGAAATGCACGCTGCACCGCAATTACGGATTCAGTCTTGCTGAACTGCAGAACGCAAAACGCCCCTTGTGTTGCGGGGTCGCCATCTTGCCAATGACTGAGGCTAGGGGCTGTTTGTGCGCTGGGAGAGGCATCTCGCGGTCATTATTTTAAACTCTGTGCCCCGCCCTCTCTATGTCCCGCCCTCTCTATGTCCCGCCCTCTCTATGTCCCGCCCTCTCTATGCTCCGCCCTCTCTATGCCCCGCCCTCTCAAGTGGTAAGAGTTTCATTCATGGGCGGTTCGTGGTTGCAGAGATATAGCGATTTCAATTCGGGTCCATATTTTTGAAGCACCCTGTATATATGTTCCAATCAACCAGGTTGGAATCCATCTGTCCTACATGACCGAATTCTCTCAATTTCAGCCACGCCTTTTGGATCCTCACTTTGATATCACTGGAGCCTGCTATTTTCTGGCACTGCGGACCCTATGCAACTGTTTGCGTGTGACTGATGCAAGTTATAACGATGTTCTGGAAGATTTGGCATTCGAAAATGGTGAGGATCAAGTGTTTAGAGTTATGGCCTTCTTAGAAAATTATGGGCCAGAAGTTGATTGCTTCTCAGGACAGGGTCAGCTGAAGTAAACTGCTTTATGTTCCACACTAAACTTTTAGAAATACACAAACCCCATCATCAGTGAACCAAGCAATTTTCCTCTTGTATAGCATAATAATAATGTCGCTATAAATCAGCCAATGCCTGCGAATGGTATTCAACATATAATGTAATGCCTTGCCAAAAATATATATAATGTATATTTTATCAATGCTGTTATTACAATTATGACATTAATACTAAACAATAATTAATCTTCTGTGGGGGGATGCTGGCCATCCTATCTAGCTACTGCATCAACTTTAAACCTTAAAGTCCGTGTCATGGATATCTTCAAAGTGTCATTGATGATGATGGTGGTGGTAACGAAAATAAGCATGATGATGTTCGCGAGTGCACAGCGTGAATAACGGCGGGCTTTTGAAATGCATTTTACGCCAACCCCATGAAAAAAATCTAAATCGGAAGCGCATCCACAAATTGAAATTGTCAGGATTTCCCCGTGAAGGGAGGTCTTTGTTGTGGGGTTTTGTTTGTGCCGCTGATGTTAACAAACAAAAAAGCGGAGGGAAGGAGGTTGTGATGCGAGGAAATCTCCTCCCCGAACGCAGCCCTTGATGTCGCTGCCTTGTAAATCAACTCGATTTGATTTATGTATGAACGTTTCGCTATTTACAGTATTTGTGCATGCGTGTGTGCGGGGAGCGGTAGTGTTAGCGAATGGCGCGCTGCGCTAGGAACCCGGCGACCCGAGTTCGATTCCCGCGTGTGGCCAACAGCCGTGACGATTATCTGAACCGGTAGCGGGCTTCCCCTAAGTCGACTCAGCCTCAAATGAGTACCTGGTGCGGCGTGTAAACATCGCCACTTGGGATACAAAGGCGGTCGGGCGTGATGTTGGCCACCAGCCCCCTCATGTACCCTAGCGGCCTTCGTAGGTGCTCGCTAACAGCTCTTGCCCCAACAGTCTGTTAAGGCTACACGGAGGATTTTTGTCTTTGTCTGTAGGTACATATAATGTAAGGGCCCGGAAACCCGAGTTCGTTTCCTGCTCACGGCCAACAACAGTGACAATTATCTGAACCAGCCTCACATGAGTACCTGATGATGACCCCCCCCCCCCCCCCCCCACTGTATTCCTTGCACCAGGGTCCATGCCAAACATGCAACGCCACAGGATATGTACGTCAGGTTATAACGCAATGCAGCACGAGGCGTAACGTAAGATTGGGTGCTCATCTGCCACTCCAACACTCTCTCTCTCTCTCTTTATATCTGAAGAGGCAATTCTAACTGAAACAAATTATAATATATATACACAAAATGTCACCAACAGTTAAACAAAACAGGAATTCCAGCATGCTTTGCATGTCATAGCCAACTGGCTCACAAGGGCCGACCGAGTAAGTGGCCAATGTAAGGCAACACAAATCCCTTGGGTGCAGATGGAAGCAGTTGTCATGTATACGTGCTTGCACTTGTGCTGACGAGCCATACTAGAGACTAACCGGGTATATGTACGTATGCTAAACTTATTTCGCACCGTACATAGCCAACGGTGCTAATCGATGGGATTGTTTTCTCACCGTCCTTTTCTATTGACCAAGTTACACCTACCACCATCGTTCTGAGCCGGTGGTCATCACGAGTCTCTCTGTGTGTGCGCAGAACTTGCACGAGAATGGTGGCGTCACGCTGACATGCAACGCATGCTGGG